GTGAGGTCAAGAATGTGGAAGAATTACATGCTTTTTATTCACCTGAAGTAGAGATACAATGAACAAGCTAGCTTTAGTACCAGGCAACAGTAAACGATCTCAGCAGAGCATCTTAGCATTTTGATTCACTAATTAAAATAAGGTTTACCTGTTATTTTATCACCAGATGCTGGGTTCTTAAGAGTTGTGTTAGTCGAGGTTAAACAACCGTCAGCAGTGAGATTTATACCAGTAACACAAAATGACAAAAATAATTTCCTTTGATACTTTATTTTTATGTAATTATGTCACCTGCTTTCACTGATGTCAGGAAAGTAAGTCTAGTGATGAACCAACAGTCTGACCTGCTGATTAAAGTGAAGTACATTACAAAAGTCAGCCCTGCTAATGAAAAAATATACATTTATAAACTCTTAAAATTATAAATATATAAGTGATAAGCAGTGATTTTGTCATACCTGTGGTCACAGTAAATGTTGGCATTCTCTGAGTCATACTTGACTTTCTTTCCACAATATCTATAGTAAGAGAAGATTGGATGGATTTGGGATTTTCCATGTACAAATAAATAAATATTTATGTAGACAATATGGGACAGCATTATTTTTGTATTTGTATTTTTTAGATGTTTTTAGTAGGTCCATAATAAGCTTAATATACAGTGAGCACGATTTCAATCCTGATGTCACAATTAAACTTCTAACAAACGGATTTAAGGTACAGTTATCAAATATTCTATATCTAATTTAGGTCACAATTTACTTTATCAGATTCATTGACTGTGTCACAGAAAGTAAACTAAAGCTTGTAGCATGTGTGTTCATGTCTTCTGTGACTTACCAGTCAAGTTGTATCGATCACTGCGAGGAGACAAAGAGTTGGGTTCACTTCCCAAACTGTAATCACAGCTGGCATCACTCTGTTTAACTAAACATAGACGTTTCAGCAAATCATCAATTGGGACACTAAACTGGCAAAACCACCGATTGGTTGAGCTTCTCTTCTTCCAGATGGTTGTTGTTACAACTGGATCACTTTCTTCTCCAAAGTACAGGTTACATCTCGTATCATTATTAGTAGATCCAGGCAGAGAGCAAACAAAGTGAACGTGTTCACCATGAATATGCTGTAGACTCATCTGTGGTGCTTGACCTACAAACACATTAATATAAAGTAAATAAACATGATGTGCTTTTCTACACTTGATCAGTACACTTTATGACAGTTCTTTGATTTGAAACAACACAATGATACCTACAACCTACAATGATAAAAAGTAAACACACACCATGTTTAACAACTAACTAAAAACATTATTCTGAGTCATCTGATGTGAGTTTAGCATATGTAATACAAAGAAATTGGAATCATATCTACAATTGCTGAGAATTACTCATATTCTTTGGTAAAAAAAAATATTTATCAAACTAACAAAATCATATCTGTATCACCCCCTCCGACAGGAGGCATTTTAATGGGAACAGAGGTTGTTAAAGCAGCGTTCTCTCTCTTTGTTTTGGACCACACCGCTTATCTTGTGCTGATACTGTATCAAGACGTAATAATATCAGTAGAAACAGTCACTCACTGTGTATGGTGATGGAGGATATGTCACTGTGTGGAGATGGAAAATCTAAATCTCTAACCTTTACAGTGTAATAACATTTCACTTCAACCTCAGCAGGTGAACTCTGATGTGACATTAACAGCAGTTCAGTTCCTGTCAGTCTCTTCATACAAGGAAGGACTCTGACATTTCCTCCACTAACAGTGTAGAAATAACACTGAGACACAGAAACAGATGATGGAGCCTCACAGCTCAATGTGACTGAGTCTGTATCTGTGATCACCGGTGAATTCACTCTCAGTTTAGGTGGAAGAAGATCTAAAAATGTAGAGGTAAACATATAATCTCAAATATGTTCTAGCTGCATTAGTATATTAATATTCCTAATGAGAAATTGTGATTTAACGTAGAGGAAGTAAAGAAAAATCAGGGACTGACCTTGAGCTTGAATCTCAGCAAAGGAAGCTGTTGGAAATGCAGATGTAAACAGATATAATAATAACTCATTAACTCTAAATTAATTAGTAATAATTAACCAACCCTAAAAAATATGATGAATATGATCTACATTATTAATGAAATAATCTATAAGAGGTTTAACTTACACATAAGGAAGACAAACAACAGGTGTCCAGCCATGATGAAGCTGAATACTGAGACTGTCCATAAAGATACTTTAGTGTCTGACTACAGACTCTGACATACTTATGTATCATTCTGAATACCTCTTTCTCAGTAAAACCACAGCTAGTATCAGATGTTAATCTTATTAACAGAAAGGTCACAGAAATACACACACTTGACATCCTTTTTAAAATACCTTTGTGTTTTATTTAGGTCAAATCAACCACACTGGAGGCTGAACTCTGAAGAAAGATGATTACATTTGATTTACAGCACCTCTGTTTCAGCTTTTTCTATTAAATGCCCAAACTAAACAGTCTGTAGAGTGTAGACCCTGTGTGTGTGTGTGTGTGTGTGTGTGTGTGTGTGTGTGTGTGTGTGTGTGTGTGTGTGTGTGTGTGTGTGTGTGTCTGTTTGTGTACGTGTGTGTGTGTGTGGAATTGGAATCATTTGGTTTAATCTTGTACTTTGATCTGAGAAAAAGACATTACAGTAGTTTGACATTGGTCCTGATTATAATCTACAAGTCAACTTTAAACACAACATTTACAAGTTCTTGAGTTCTTTAGGCTGTAAAACTGTTTGCATTTCAGTGTGTCTGCACAGTGTTGTAAATCATGTCTTTCTGGGAAGATACAGCTTGCTCCTCAGATATGGTAGTGTACAAAACGTATATGTGTCATACTGGGAAAAGAACCAACTGTAGCATTTATCAATATATATGAAAATTATATTTAATATTGTTCCTCATGTCAGACTTACATTCTTACTTTGAGGCTCAAAATCAAAAAGAAAGACACACACAATAAGATGATTGTATCCCATAAAGTTTTGGTGTTTTGTTCATTCATACTTGATTTTATTAATCCTTATTGCATATTGTTGTTAAATGTCATTTAAATGTTTTTCTTTGCCTATGTAAAGCACTTTGAATATTCAGTGTTTGAAACTTGCTATAAAGAGCTGCCTTGCCTAAGGTGGAATTCAGTAAGGCCATTTGGTCAGTAGGGGACGCTGAAGCCTGTGCAATAGTCCACATGGTCATTAAGAGACTGTCTGCTCTGCTAGTTGTTGCAAGAAATAAGAGAGAGTGAACACTCAGTGTGTGTTCATGAAAACTATCACACCCAGTTTAAGCTTCAATATTATAATATACTGCACAGTCTGTATATAAAATGTATATAAAAATAGCTGACAGTCATCATCTGTTTCCATCACCATGCTTCACCCTCAGTGGCTTATTCAATAGTTGGTTGTGGCTTTCAGCAAGGCCATTAAAACTTCCCCTGATACACTCAGCACAACCTTTTTGCTAAATCTAACTGACCATTTACTACAAACAGTCAATTCTTTAGTGTCTCTGACTATAGTATTAACTATCTGGCGTTTAAGTCTTTTGAGAAGTTGTTTAACTCCTAAAAATGAGTCAATCTCACGATGCAGTGATTGTGAAAATCTGACTCCTAGAGCTTACATACATTTCCTTATCAGACAAACTGTTAAAAGGGTTTTACACTTCGGTATTAAACTGTGTTTGAACCTCAGCAGAATCATCAGCCACCACCACCAGTGTCTGGAGCGGGAGGATTTATCTTGCTGCAGACGCCCCTCTAACACAAAAAAGACTTAGTGTCAAGACTTAATCATCACATGTTATTATAAATAAATGTGTCTCTCCTGATTGAAATATTTTTTCATAGCAGCAGTTTTCACTCACTTTGGATGATAATAGAGAACGTATCTCAGGACATACGTTAATGTAAAAACTTGCAAGTTTAACCTCAGCAGGTGAACTATGATGTGACATCTTCAACAGCTCAGTTCCTGTCAGTGTCTTCAGACAAGAGAAGCTTTTTGCCGGTCCTCCTCTTACAATGAGACCTCATGAATACACACACTTGACATCATTTATAAAGCCCCAGTATGTGTGGTAAAGTATATTTAGATCATATTTACTATCACCAACTAGTTTTTCATGTTGTTATTAATTTTCTTTGCTTTCTTGTTGTTGTAAAAATGACTTGAAGACTAACTTTTTTTAATTATTATTATTTCGATGAAAACAGAAGGCGAAAGGTTAAATTATCACCCAAACTGTCTACAGTTTACAGACCAACTTGCTGCTTCATGTGAAGCTCTTTCGAATGTGCACAGCTGTCCCAAGTGATGACAGATCACAATATTTCAAGTGTGTTCAGTTTCCCATCAAAATTTGTGGCAGGAAGGAAGTAAACTAATGTTAGATCTTTCTGGTTAGTCCCCATTTGATTCATGAGTCAATATGTTCCCTATCTGTCTACACTGAGTGTCATTATTAATGGCTATGTGGGAATAGAGAATTTAGTAAAGTGGGTTGAGTGCTTGAACAAATTATCTATGCACATCTCTGCTCAAACAGGCCTTTGAAAATTATTACAGTTATAGTATCTTTAAACCCTGAGGTAAACTGTTCATTGTGAAGTACTAACTTTATTTTAAAGTTAACTAATAAGAGATTATACACCGTAATTTGATCAATTTAGATTAAAACTAGAAATATGTTCACTATTAGACAGTAAACAAACACGGTAATACCCTAATTAGACACCATACAACAAAATTATTGTGTAATTAGAAACATACTGCTGTATCAGACCCAAAATATACCACACTAAATAACAAATTATACTCTAATTAGAAACCAAATAGGAGAAAGAAAGCAGATAGGCCTATAATGTTATATCAGATCCAATATATACACGCGAATACCCAAACTACCGAATTATGAGACAACATTTAATGCTACCAATGATAGACTCATTAGACAACATTGTCATTAGACAAATGTAATGCCATATATTATTGGACATAGCTTTAACAGACTTTACACAGTGACCAGAGGACATGCATTTATTTTGCTGTTATTTAACACAGTTTTATTTTCTTACAGGGTCATTTTGTTGCTCATTAGAAGAAAACTGTTTCGGAAATTAACATCAAACCAGGTTACATCCTACTTCACATGTTCCTCTTAGCCTGAATGTTCTCCGTAGTCCTGTGGACTTTGTAGGTTGATAGTTGATCTATGTTGTCTAAATTAATTTAAATTGTGGTTATAGTCTTTTTATGTGAATTTATGCTGTCTAAAATGTTTCTGTGAATCAGACAAGAGTGAGCTCTTTCAAGAAAAGCTTGAGTAGAAGTGACAGAATAAGTGAGTTATTTTCAGTAACTATAAAAGCACAAATAATCGACATGAAAATCAGAAGCAAAAACTAATTTAGTGAAGTTTGAAAATACTCCCCACAATGTCTATGTATATACACCAATCAGCCATAACATTGTGATCACTGACAGATAAAGTGAATAACACTGATTATCTGGTTATCATGGCACCTGTCAGTGGGTGGGATATATTTGGCAGCAAGTGAACATTTTGTCATCAAAGTGATGTGTTAGAAGGAAAAATGGGCAGCATAAGGATTTGAGCAACTTTGACAAGGGCCACATTGTGATGGCTAGACAACTGGGTCAGAGCATCTCCAAAACTGCAGCTCTTGTTGGGTATTCGCAGTCTGCAGAGGTGAGTACCTATCAAAGGTGCTGACCCACCAGAGACATGGACAGCCAAGGCTCATTGATGCACGTGGGGAGTGAAGGCTGGCCTGTGTGGTCTGATCCAACAGACGAGCTACTGTAGCTCAAACTGCTGAAAAAGTGAATGCTGGTTCTGATAGAAAGGTGTCAGAACACACAGTGGATCACAGTTTGTTGGTATGGGGCTGCAGAACATTATGACCACCAGCTTGTGGCTGATCGGTGTATATGTCAAATTTTAGAAAATTGCGTCATTATTATCTTTTTTTTCTTGGCTTGCGTTTATTATTAGAAAACAAAACAAGAATTACATCAAGTCTTAACTGAACTTGCTATAGTTTTATAAATGGGGAATGGTAGGAATCCATGCTGTGCTTTGTTTTTCATAAAGCACAACTTAAGAATTAGTGACTGTAAAGGTTTGGTAAAAAGGTTTAATCTTAAAGTTTGTTTGTTCTAAGAAAAAGGTATTACAGCAGTCTAACAATAGTCTAGGTTATATAAGTGACTGACTGCCAGCTTTCTCTGTATTCTCAGTATAAAACAGTTTGTATTTCAGTGCGCCTGCACGGTGCTGTACACCATATCCTGCAGGCCAAATCCAGTCTCACAGGTTGTCAGGGCAGATGCAGCTGGTTCCTCAGAGATGGTGGAGTACAAATGGTATGTGTCATTCTGGGAAAATTAATATATAATTGTAGCATCTCTTACATATGACTAGTCTATTTATTGTTGTACATGTCAAACTTACAGTCTCATTTTGATGTTGCTGCTCTTTCACTTCCTCAGAACCTGGAAGTGAGAAAGACACACAGTGAAATGATTGTTGGTGGAAAAATAATCATTTTCTCTGAATAATGCATCTTGGACAGCATTACACTTTCAAGTTAATCTTTAAGCCGAAAAGCCAGAAAAGAGTTGTAATGCTCTTAAAATGTTACAGATTCAGCAAGTGTTTAAATAATAAAGGGTCTAATGAAATATGTGCATTGTCACATGATCAGAGCTGTTTACTTCCTGGTTGCACCATGAGAAGAGGATGCATCAAGGCTCCTAAACAAAAGTATGTTAGTAAAGTGTGTTAACTTAAAGGTAGGACAAAGATTTTTTTTGGTCCACGACACACTGGCCCAGCAGAGGAGCACCTTCAGCAGGAGACTTCTCTCACCCAGATGCACCACAGGAAATCATTCCTGCCTGTGGTCATTAAACTATACTACGCCTCCCTAAGAGATTCGGACACCCCCTCTCTGTAATCTGACTCAAACATAGACAATCATTTTTTGCACTTTTTGCACATTATTACTGTACATTTGATCTTTTATATATATATATATATATATATATATATATTTTTTTTTTTTGTTCTTAATATATGTTGTATGTATATCTGGAGTTTGTAACAAAAATAATTTCCCCCTGGGATTATTAAAGTATTTCTGATTCTGATTCTGATTCTGATTGAGGTGTCTAGTATTGATATATGCATTTGCAGTTACTCAACATTCAGTTCAATGTGGTCACAGAATGAGTAAACATGTTTTCTGCAACAATAGCGCCCAGTGTAATAGCACAGTGCACAAACACACACATATACATAGTTCTTGTTCTACCTAACTTTCTACTCTGTTCTTTCTTTTAGTTTCACTTTGAATTGCAAAGCGTATTTTAAGGGAATTATTGTTAGTCTTGCCATTACCGCATTAAACTGAATTTGTTCTCGTTGAACACTGATACTCAGTGCTCGGGCATTCTTGCACCATCCTATAGAAACAGGAACAGTCCAGACCCTTCCTGTACTGCTTCAGAGGTTGTTGGCCACAATTACAGCCAACGTCACACCACACGGGGGAACCACCAAACCACCAGCTGCAGTCTTCCTTTAGGAATCTGGACACAAGACCAGGGGGTCCAAGTGACAGCAGACTTTCGTTGCATGGGTGACACTCGCAGCACATGGGCAACTAATGACCAGATGGCCCCATTATCCATGGAAGATGACGGACAGGAAACAAACAGTTTCGGGGGAGGCTCAGTGAATTGTGTAAAATATTACCTTAGTTATTACATTAGATGTCAAAGGAGATCAAATAATAGCCTAATGTGTGTAATGTGGCTAAAGAGATAGTTCAGAGATACAGTAATGTAGTTGGGGAAATTTACTATTTTTCCCACTTTTCCCTATGGTCCGACACTAACTACCTTGTAATGTATATATTATAGTATGAAGTTATGTCAAGCAGCAATATCAGGCTATCTTGGCTCACCAATTACACCAATAAAGACACAAAATCATCAACAATAAAAACGACAAATATTATTTTCTGAACGGTCAGAATGAATTATTAAGAACTCAAGAAATCATGTCACCTTTTTCTGGTTTCACTGATGTCAGGAAAGTAGAGACAGAACTACCAACAGACCTATCAGTGTCACTTGATGTAGAAACAGTCCAACCTGCTGAATAAACTAAAGTATGTTTCAAAACATTCAAATAAAACATTCAAATAAAACATTCACATTTTATGATTAATGATTTTATCAATATGATATGTCTTCTGTGATATGCAGGGATTTTGTGTATATATTGTAGTATGAAGTTATGTCAAGCAGCAATATCAGGCTATCTTGGCTCAATTGTTGAGTGCCTATGGGTTCAAATAGCATAATAATGATTCCGTAGCATCCAGGAATTGAATGAAAGTAAGCAAGTAAAATGAGCAGAGTTGAGGGGGGTGCTTTTTCTCCCCTCAGATCAGTCTGAGGGGAGGCTCACAGTCTCCAGAGCATTATAGTGACAGAGTTTTAAATGTGTTAATAACTGGGCTGGGATGTATAAGATACAGTATACAACTGTTTTGCCTATTTTAACTTAAATGAATAATAGTTTTAGTTCAGCAGAGCACTGAAGCTGTGGTTGCAGCTGCCGCTAAATTTAGTCATCTGTTTCATTTGTTCACCATCAGCGGTTCTTTCACCAGTTGTGCAGCTATCAGTGCAGCCATCATAAACTCTTTCCACTGATGTTCTGCTGATACAGTCAGGCCTACAATGTTTGCTGCTGCAGCTCCTTTCACAAACCTCCTCTTTAAGTGCTTGTGGTATTGTTGCTTTAACTGTTGGATTCTTTGAGAGATCCCTCAAAGAGCACAACTTTTTGCTAAATCTATACTATAACCATTTGCAATGAATGGACCATTCCGTTTTTGTTCTGACTGAAGTTTTGGTGCTTATATCTTTTCAGTAGTTGTTTAACTCTCTTAAACTGAGTAAATCTAGAGATGACATGATTGTGAAAATGCAACTTCTAGAGCTTACGTATATCATTAGAGACAAACTACAGAATTACACAAGATTCAGACTTAATAAGATTATGTTCTCACCAGCTCTTCTTTTTTTACAGTGAATTACTGAAAGCACGATGACGCCCACAGTTAGACCACAACCAGCCACAGCTATTAACTTCCATATCCACGTCTCTGCTTTGAAACAACAGAAGTCATAAACAAGTGTCAGTTTGACACTTGTTTAACAAAAAAACGTATTACGTACAAACGTATAAACGTACTACATTAAAAACATTAACAAAAAAACGTATTACTATAACAAAATCATTTCAACCACCAATCAATACAAGTACAAATATTGCTTTGCCTCTGATATAAAGTCACTGTGTAAATTACTTTGTATAATTTAATCATTAATTTCAAGTTGAGGGTATGTTAAGAATTAAAATTATTCGCAATGTAGTGCTGCTGTGAGGAAGTTCACATAGTCCAGTACAGTTGAATCATCACTGAAGCGTAAATCATTCAAGTGAGTCAATAAAAACAAATGGAATAATCAAAGTTTCATATTCATATTGACATTTAAGGTGTGTTGACTGATTCTCAATTCATGCACTGAGTAACATGCAAGAAAACATTCCACCTTAAAGGTTTCCGGTAGCTGCTGGAAGCCTTTAAGTGGCACAGTGAATAAAATTATTTGTCTCCAGTCTAAAGCTAGTTAATGTTAACTAGTGAAGATGAAAAAGCAGCAAAACATTCTTTCATTCACTCTTTTTACGGTTCTTTATTACTTTATGTGAAACAATACAAAGCCTGTAAAACTTGGCCAGTTTGTGCTGCATCTACAATGTCTGCAGGAAATTAAAGTTTGCTTGGCTACATTTTCATAGCCTTGACTATTATGAGCTCGACCTCTGCCTGCACTGCAACCTTTCCTCAGAATAGATGTTTCGAATGTTGCTTCTTTTGCTCGGTATGAGTAAGTACCTTCACAGCAATGTGTGTCAGCATGTTGATGCAATAATAAAAATCTTTAGTCTACCTGTTATTTCATATGCAGATTCAGGATTCATAGGGGTCATACTAGTATCAATAGTAAGGCACAAAAACATATTAACATTAAAACTATGTTGTATTCCTCTTTACTAGGGGTAAAGATGACCAGCAGAAAATTATTGTCATGATATTTAGTAACTTTATTTTACTTGAACATTGTGGACTAGCATTATCTGTACAATAGGAAGTCTAATATCACCTAAGCACCACCATGTCCATCCAAGTAACCAAATTAATCATTGAAAAACTGAATAATTATGTCACCTGATGCTGGTTTCACTGGTTGTAAGGAGGTAGAGGTGGCACCACCAGTATTACTTGATGTAACTGGCCAAACTGGTGGAACAACAAAAGCACATTTCAAAATACTGAATCACACTGAAACATAAAGAATATATACATAATTTCAACTAATATATCTGTTATTTTGTTACCTGATGTTAGTTTTACAGAAGACCTCAGTCAGACAGAATTTTTAAACTATTTGATACTAAAGTTCTGTGTAGTAATTTTCTGGACTGCTATTTTTATATATAAACTGTGCTACCCGTGGTCATATTAAATGTTGGCTTTGTCTGAGTCACGCCTGACTCTCTTTCCACAATACTTACAGAAAGAGAGGATGGATGGGTATAAACTACTGTATGGGACAGCCTTATTATTTATTAATTTGTATCTTGGATCATTGTAGTATGAACCCTGGTTCATAATAAACATAGTATTTGATTCTATGTTGATTATTTGTTATGTGAGTGCCATGAAACTGTAGATAGGACCTAATGCGTTTTTAGCCAGTTTCGCAGCCACCGTAGTTTCTTCTGCGTGCTTGGAAGATGAGTGGTATTCAGTTAGTTGCTTTCTGCTTCTTCACCGCTAAGCTATGAATTCCTCACACTGGATCTTTAATGTGAAAATGTTACATATTGTATCTTTAACCTGTGAATCTCTCACAGCTGAAATTCTTCTTGAAACATTTTCTCATTTTACACAATGACTGACTGACAGAAAAAAGACTAACAAAGAGACTTGCAAAATGTTTCAAATTTAAAAATGTAAAAAACAATGTATGGACGTTTTGTGAAAAATTAAATGCTTTTTGCTCACCTGAAGTGGGGATACAAGGAACAAGCTAGCTTTAGTACCAGGCTTATTAACAGTAGGATTTAGTATATGTCAAAAGCATTTATAAACATTCCCAGCAAAGACTTTCAGTATTTTGATGCACTATTCAAAGTGAAATTTAAAAAATAATTAGGTTTACCTGTTATTTCATCATCAGATGCTGGATTTTTAAGAGTTGTTTGAGTAGAGGTCAAACTACCTGCAGCAGTGAGAGTTACACCAATAAAGAAACAAAATCATTAACATTAAAAACAACAAATATTATTTTCTGAACAGTCAGAGTGAATTATTAAGAACTAGAGAAATCATGTCACCTTTTTCTGGTTTCACTGATGTCAGGAAAGTAGAGACAGAACTATCAGTGTCACTTGATGTAGAAACAGTCCGACCTGCTGAATAAACTAAAGTATGTTTCAAAATATTTAATTAAAACATTCACATTTTATGATTAACACTTATATCAATATGATATGTCTTAATATCAGTAATTGATTAATTAATACATAAGTGATATGCAGGGATTTTGTGTATATATAATAGTATGAAGTTATGTCAAGCAGCAATATCAGGCTATCTTGGCTCAATTGTTGAGTGCCTATGGGTTCAAATAGCATAATAATGATTCCGTAGCATCCAGGAATTGAATGAAAGTAAGCAAGTAAAATGAGCAGAGTTGAGGGGGGTGCTTTTTCTCCCCTCAGATCAGTCTGAGGGGAGGCTCACAGTCTCCAGAGCATTATAGTGACAGAGTTTTAAATGTGTTAGTAACTGGGCTGTATAAGAGTTTTGATGATTGTATACAAGAAAAGTGTTTTTCAGTATAAAACGCATTATCAGTCACAATCGTAACCAGCCATAAAATACACTTTTTCACCTTCTTTTCCATGAACATTTAAAAATGTTGATTATCTCAAAGGGTTACTATTGACAAGTCAGGATTAAATGGGTTAAGAGAACAACTCTGTACCGATATGGTTCTCATACACATTCTTTTCACATGTTAAAGGAGCGTTAGACACAAGCAAAGGAAGTTATTTTTGAGGTTAATTTGTTTCTGTGCAGTGGTGGTCTCCCACAGGCGTAGCTTACTTTCAGTTTGAGATGCAGGTCTTGCACGTTTGTTCTATGCAAGCTGTTAAAAGCTAAAAGCTATTTTAGTAGCTATGAGCTATGCCAACTGCAAATGGCTTTTAACATTTAAGTCAAAATGTGTCTCTAAGACAACTGTTTTGACTGAAATACCTAAAATGATGTTTACAGTTTGTAAAGCTCAGAGTAACAGGTTGCAAAATGTTTCAAATTTAAAAATGTAAAAAACAATGTATGGACGTTTTGTGAAGAATTAAATGCTTTTTTGTCACCTGAAGTGGGGATACAAGGAACAAGCTAGCTTTAGTACCAGGCTTATTAACAGTAGGATTTAGTATGTGTCAAAAGCATTTATAAATATTCCCAGCAAAGAATCTCAGTATTTTGATGCACTAATAAAAGTGAAATAAATTAAAGATTAGGTTTACCTGTTATTTCATCATCAGATGCTGGATTAAGAGTTGTGTGAGTTGAGGTCAAACTACCTGCAGCAGTGAGAGTTACACCAATAAAGACACAACATTTTTATATATAAACTGTGCTACCTGTGGTCATATTAAATGTTGGCTTTGTCTGAGTCACGCCTGACTCTCTTTCCACAATACTTACAGAAAGAGAGGATGGATGGGTATAAACTACTGTATGGGACAGCCTTATTATTTATTTATTTGTATCTTGTATCATTGTAGTATGAACCCTGGTTCATAATAAACATAGTATTTGATTCTATGTTGATTATTTGTTATGTGAGTGCCATGAAACTGTAGATAGGACCTAATGCGTTTTTAGCCAGTTTCGCAGCCACCGTAGTTTCTCCTGCGTGCTTGGAAGATGAGTGGTATTCAGTTAGTTGCTTTCTGCTTCTTCACCGCTAAGCTATGAATTCCTCACACTGGATCTTTAATGTGAAAATGTTACATATTGTATCTTTAACCTGTGAATCTCTCACAGCTGAAATTCTTCTTGAAACATTTTCTCATTTTACACAATGACTGACTGACAGAAAAAAGACTAACAAGTTGCAAAATGTTTCAAATTTAAAAATGTAAAAATAAATGTATGGACGTTGTGTGAAGAATGAAATGCTTTTTGCTCACCTGAAGTGGGGATACAAGGAACAAGCTAGCTTTAGTACCAGGCTTATTAACAGTAGGATTTAGTATGTGTCAAAAGCATTTATAAACATTCCCAGCAAAGACTTTCGGTATTTTGATGCACTATTCAAAGTGAAATTTAAAAAAGAATTAGGTTTACCTGTTATTTCATCATCAGATGCTGGATTCTTAAGAGTTGTTTGAGAAGAGGTCAAACTACCTGCAGCAGTGAGAGTTACACCAATAAAGAAACAAAATCATTAACATTAAAAACGACAAATATTATTTTCTGAACAGTCAGAGTGAATTATTTCTGGTTTCACTGATGTCAGGAAAGTAGAGACAGAACTATCAGTGTCACTTGATGTAGAAACAGTCCGACCTGCTGAATAAACTAAAGTATGTTTCAATCATTTAATTAAAATATTCACATTTTATGATTAACGCTTTTATCAATATGATATGTCTTAATATCAGTAATTAATTAATTAATACATAAATGATATGCAGGGATTTTGTGGATTACGTAGACGTCGTACCTGTGGTCTTAGTGACTGTTGGCCTCTGGATCATCCCTGATTCTTTTTCCACAATATCTACAATAAAAGAAGATGGTTTTGGACCTGTCAGTTTCATGTTTGTACAAATAAATATTTACTACAGTCTGATTATTATGTGAAGAATAAACATGATTAGGTAACACTTTATAATGAGTACACACTATTAAGCATTAGTTAAGCATGAATAAATACTGAATTCATCATTTATAATGCATGAATACACATTAGTATGCAGTTTATAAACACAGTTAAAAATGTTTTGTTCATCATTGATAAGCACATTTGTTATGGATTAGTAAATACTGAATTCATCATTTATAAAGCATGATTCTGCTGTAAATACTCATTACTATGTGGTTTATAATCACAGTTATAAATGTTTTACTCTTCATTGTACTGTACATTTCTGCATGCACTTGCACATCCACTATTCAGACATGTATTAATGATTAGTGACTGTGTAAGCAGATGTTCTATAAAACTCACAACAAATTCATTTTCTAATGATGGCCTATAAACAGTTATTAATGCAGGAATTCACAGTTACAAAGCACTTACTACTCCTTAATTATTTTGCACGAGCTTATCTAAAGTGAGCACTATCTATGGCTTATTAAGGATTTACAAATGAGATATAAAGGCTGACAATGCCTCGAGACTGTTACGTCATATTTACGTTAACTCTCAGAAGTTTCTGACAGTGCAGCCAAGAGGAGCATGGAGAAGCACATTGGAGTCGGCGGCCGTCAGCGGCTCTAGTGGAGAGTATGTGTCTTTGTTTGGTAGCACACATTATGGTTGAAAGATAACGTTAGCTTGTCAGCAGCTGCAGGTGTTCGCCCGCGCTCCCCGACTAACGTTACTAATGTTACTAATGTTAGTAACGTTACTAACGTTACCGACCCTCCCGCGGTGGCTAAGCCGACCCGCCGCTGCTAGGCACTCACCTCTCCCGGCTAGACGAGACTAGGCTAGGTCGGCTTAGCCACCGCGGGCGGGTCGGTAAGGTTAGTAAAGTCAGTAACGTTAGTAACGTTAGTAACGTAGTCGGGGAGCGAGGGCAAACACCTGCAGCTGCTGACAAGCTAACGTTATCTTTCAACCATAATGTGTGCTACCAAACAAAGACACATACTCACCACTTGAGCCGCTGACGGCCGCCGACTCCAATGTGCTTCTCCATGCTCCCCTTGGCTGCACTGTCCGAAACTTCTGAGAGTTAACGTAAATATGACGTAACATCCCGCTCTCAGCACGTCATCACGTTGATGACGTGCTGAGAGCGGGAGCTCAACGTACACGTCCCAAACAGAGAAGATCACAACAATAGCATGTGTTCATAAACCACCCTTGTTCGTCTTCATACAATATGTTGGGAAGTTGCAGTAAATATCAATACAATATGTTCTATATCCCTTTGTGTTGTGTCTCTTCTTCGTCTGTTAAGATAACTGAACAATTTGTGAGTCTCGAGGCATTGTCAGCCTTTATATCTCATTTGTAAATCCTTAATAAGCCATAGATAGTGCTCACTTCAGATGAGCTCACGCAAAATACTTAATTAAGGAGTAGTAAGTGCTTTGTAACTGTGAATTCCTGCATTAATAACTGTTTATAGGCCATCATTAGAAAATGAATTTGTTGTGGGTTTTATAGAACATCTGCTTACACAGTCACTAATCATTAATACATGTCTGAATAGTGGATGTGCAAGTGCAAGCAGAAATGTACAGTACAATGAAGAGTAAAACATTTATAACTGTGATTATAAACCACATAGTAATGAGTATTTACAGCAGAATCATGCTTTATAAATGATGAATTCAGTATTTACTAATCCATAACTAATGTGCTTATCAATGATGAATAAAACATTTTTAACTGTGTTTATAAACTACATACTAATGTGTATTCATGCGTTATAAATGATGAATTCAGTATTTATTCATGCTTAACTAATGCTTAATAGTGTGTACTCATTATAAAGTGTTACCCATGATTAAAATCCTGATGTCACACTGTCACAATTGAACTTGACTGAGCTGTACTGTAATGTTTACGATGTCTGAATTTATACAGTTGCAGTTCACTTTATTTACAAATCAATTTAAATTGTATGTGTTGTATAGTTGTTTTGTTTGTGTTATTCTTTTGAATTGTTCACATGTATTTACAGCAAGTACACATACACATTATAAATAAAGGTTAAATTTTAGTTTGTGTAATAATGTCTTCTGTGACTTACCAGTCAACCTGTATCGATCACTACGAGGAGACAAAGAGTTGGGTTCACTTCCCAAACTATAATCACAGCTGGCATTACCCTGTTTAACTAAACTTAGACGTTTCAACAAATCATCAGTTGTGACAATAAACTGGCAGAACCACTGATTGGTTGAGCTTCTCTTCTTCCAGATGGTTGTTGTTACAACTGGATCACTTTCTTCTCCAAAGTACAGGTTACATCTCGTATCATGATTAGCAGATCCAGGCAGAGAGCAGACAAAGAGAACGTATTCACCATCAAAATGCTGAAGACTCATCTGTGGTGTTTGACCTACAAACACATTAATATAAAGTCAATATACATGATGTGCTATTATATTATCAAGTAAACGTTACGATGGGTTTGTGATTTCAAATAGCACTAACATTTTCATACTGTGATACATAGGGATGGGAATCGAGAACCGGTTCTTCTTCAGAACCGGTGCCCAGTGAATCGATTCCTTGGAACAGTTAGCGTGCCTGCTTAACGACTCAGCTTATCGGTTCCGCTCGTTGCAAATGCGTCATGACGTCACACACGCGCTGCGTTGTTTTGGTTCAGAACGCAGCGAACATGACGTCGTGGCAGAACCGCTCTAAAGTTTGGTTATATTTTGGGCGAAAAGACGACAATACGGTCACTTGCAACAAAGTTTTAAACTTGTAAAGTTTCCATTTCGTCAAAGGGGGAACTACCTCCAATATGTAATAATTTCATTGGTTACATTTTCGTAGTGACCTATCAACACATGGCTAATTTTAACATTCAAATGAGCCATGTGTTGATTTAACACGTGCTACCACCAGGCTGTCAATCAAGCTCTCAGCGACAGAGAACGTAACGTTACCCTTTATCTATCCAGATAAAAACATCAAGAACAGTTTCTGTATGATGTTTATTAGACCTATGTAATCTGAATTGGAAGGGCACGTTGTCATGAGCTGTATCTTGTATATTTATTATTAGTTATGTGGTATGTGTATGCACCTTTAGGTAATCTGGTGGAAAAACATTAAAATTTAATTTTGATGTGAAGGAAATGGCCACCCTATTTCAGTCTGTGTTTTTAGTTTTTATGGCACATAATGGCAGTTGGGCTTAAAAAGCCAAACATTTATTTTTTTGTCTGGACCAATTAATCTGAAAATTAACAATTTCCTAATCCTAAAGCACTCATGATAATCTTTCAAGGCACACACTAGCGTGCCATGGCATACTGAGAAACACTGCCCTAGGCTATGGGTCCCTGGACTTTACTTTGAGAAGTAGCTCACCTACTTTTAGGTTTGTTCTGAGGTTGCTACACATAATTTGTGTATACTCTGTGCTGTGTCTTCTGATCAGATATTAAAGCGAATCGATACAAACAAACAAATTTGTACTTATTCCCGCACCCAATGAGAATCGATAAGAGAATCGATAAGGAATCGGATCGATAAGCAATATCAATAATGGACTCGGAATCGTTAAATTCTTATCAATTCCCAACCCTAGTGATACAACACCACACATCATGTTTAACAACTAACTGAAATAATAATTCTCTGTCATTTAATTATAATATGTAACACAAAGAAATTGTAATCAAATCTATCATTACTAATAACTAATATTGTGACGTCAAAGAACAATCAATCAGACTAATTTGTGTGTCACCTCCGCCCACAGGTTGTCGCTCTTCTTCCAAAAACAAGTTCACATTTTTTAACCATGCCACTTGCTTGTGCTTCAGTATCTTATACTAATACTGTATCAAGACGTAATAATATCAGTAGAAACAGTCACTCACTGTGTATGGTGATGGTGGATATGTTACTGTGTGGAGATGGAGAATCTAAATCTTCAACCTTTACAGTGTAATAACATTTCACTTCAACCTCAGCAGGTGAACTCTGATGTGACATTAACAGCAGTTCAGTTCCTGTCAGTCTCTTCATACAAGAAGAGCTTCTGACATTTCCTCCACTAACAGTGTAGAAATAACACTGAGACACAGAAACAGATGATGGAGCCTCACAGCTCAATGTGACTGAGTCTGTCTCTGTGATCACCGGTGAATTCACTTTCAGTTTAGGTGGAAGACGAGCTAGAGGGAAACATGTTATACTTAATACTGAATAACTGCATTAGTATAGAAATATTAATATTGAATTGATTGATATTGATTTAATGTAGAGGAAGCAAAGAACGCTACTATGTACAACCAAACCATGTGTAATAAAAGTCTAATTAATACCAGATTGTGATACATTTCCCAAACAGTGATAACAGCACATTTGGACATGAAAGATAACAGATCAGAGACTGACCTTGAACTTGAATCTCATGAAAGGAATCTGTTGGAAATATGTGTTAACAAGGTAAATAGACTTAATAATAATTCATTAATAACTTCAACAAAATGTAGAAAAATAATGAAACTCCACCTAAAGTTTAATTCTGTTAATCAGAGTTAGTTTTGGACTCACTACAGTCCCGCAATAACTTTACAAATAAACAGCACAGAGCAACAACTCACATAACATAAAATCAACAGTCACAAAAAATATCAAACAGAGGTGTAGTGTGGTCTGTCATGCTGATACATAATGGCTGATATTATTCATTAATGTCATGTTTACAAGTGTGAACCTGCATTGGTTTGTAATAATCTACATTAATAATGAAAGAATCTATAAGAGGTTTAACTTACACATGAGGAAGACAAACAACAGGCGTCCAGCCATGATGAAGCTGAATACTGAGACTGTCCATAAAGATACTTCAGTGTCTGACTACAGACTCTGACATACTTAAGTGTCACTTTGCGGAACTTGTTTGCAGGAAAACCACAGCTAGCATCAAAAATTAATCACTCAGACAGGCCACAGAAACACTTTACAGCTACATGTTCTGACACTTGGAAAAGGAAATGTAAAAATCTACCACAGGGTGGGCTAACACCGTGATGTAATTAAATTAAATTAAATAATCCCTAATAAAACAATACATACATTAGAGGGAAAGTTTTTATAGAAACTAATATAAACTGTCTTTAATTGATGAAAATTTGAATGTTTTGACATGTAATGTTCATTAAACCCGTAACATTAAACATTAAAGTGTTTACTGGGCTGGATCCACCACTATATCATATCACTTTAGCAGCACTTACTATACCACATCATGTGTGAACAATATACAAATGACACCACACATGATATACTATAATGCCAAATTGTTGTGGTTTTAGCATTAAACAACGTGTAATGGTATTATTGTGCACATGGTGCACAGGATGTGGTATAGAAAGTATATTTAAATGAATGGTTATACAGTTAATTATGTGAGTAGCAGCTAAATTATATTGATGACTCTAGCTGTTGCTTACGTTTCGTGACATCTTCTGGACAAAAGCTATACTGCTGCTGGCTACCAGCCCAGTGTGCCTGTGAGCACTGTTTGCAAAACTGTAGGTTACACTAAACCAAATCAAAATCCGCCACAGCGCTTTAACAGCGTGAAAATGGATGCTATCTGCTTCATTGGATTTACCCAGCCGTACATGTTTGAGCCGCCAGAGCCAGAATCTGACCCAGAGACACTGACCTGCCCATGGATCAACCTTGTTCCTCTCAGTCTGCTACAGAATGTTTTTTTCTCCTCTTTATGCTAGTTAACAACATGTATTACCGACAAACATAACCTGGCCAAACAGATAGGCTATCAGTAAATAACAGACCCATTATTATCTTAACAGTTTAAAATTTGTCTTTATAGTCACAGCTCAGTCTGGCAGCCATCCTCTGCACTCCACCTTGTGAACACTGTAATGGCAAGAACCTATACAACCCTTTGACCTGGTCACTGTAAAACCATACGCAACTGTTAAAGAGGCTATTATATGCATATAACCTTCAACCCTGTTTCTAACTACACTCTATGTCCAAGTAAACAGCGAGATGTTGAGACTTCACTAAGAAGCCAAGGACATGATCATGGCACCACACTATCTGTCTGTTTACTCTCCCAGAACTCAGGAATGTGTAACTGTGTTAGAGTGACGCTCCAACAGGGATAAAACGATACTGCTTCTGCCAGTCGGGGCTCTTTTGGACTTTCACATACGAGAGTGTGTGACGGTTGCATTGAGACCATTCATGGATGACTTGAATAAAACCTTTCAGAAAGACAAGATCATACTTTGTATACTTTATTAAACAAATTTCCACCACAACACGTATTTATGACATATTTATTCATCTATTTATATTTCTGTTTTGTGAGTAACAAAACAGGGACTACAGCTAGCTTTGTGATATAATACTAGTGTGAGAAATTAGCAATATAGACAAATGCTGGTAAAATAATATACTGGCTGGTATATACATGTATATATAGACCGATCAGTTATAACATTATGACCACCTGCCTAATATTGTGTAAGTCCTGCTTTTGACGCCAAAACAGCCCTGACCTGTTGAGGCATGGGCTTCACTAGTCTCTGAAGGTGTGCTGTGGTATGTGGCACCAACACGTTAGCGGCAGATCCTTTAATTCCTGTAAGTGGGCAGTTGAAGGTGGGGGCCTCCATGGATCTGACTTGTTTGTCCAGCACATCCCTTAGATGCTTGATTGGATTGAGATCTGGGAAATTCAGAGGCCAAGTCAACACCTTGAACTCATTGTTGTGTACCTCAAACCATTCCTGAAACATTTTTGCTTTGTAGCGCGGTGCATATTATCCTGCTGAAAGAGGCCACTGCCATCAGGAAATACTGGTTCCATGAAAGAGTGTACATGGTCTGTAACAATGCTTAGGTAGGTGGTCAAAGTAACATCCACATGAATGGCAGGACCCAAGTTTCCCAGCAGAACATCGTCCAAAGCATCACACTGCCTCCACTGGCTTGTCTTCTACCTATGTGATCCCCAGGTAAGTGACACGCACGCACCCGGCCATCCACAAGATGTAAAAAAAAAAAAGAACGTGATTCATCAGACCAGGCCACCTTCTTCCATTGCTCCGTGGTCCAGTTCTGATGCTCACATGCTCATTGTAGGCGCTTTCAGCAGTGGACAGGATTCAGCAGCACCATGAAAATGCTCAATACTCATCTGTGTTTTTGTATTTATAAAAAGATTAATGAAAAGTAATTTAATATAAAGTGCGTACACTGTATGTTGTAGCAAAATAGCAACAATTTTAAACAGTACTCACATTAAAAGTCCTACTGGAACACCTCAGTCATTGTGTTTTTACAATTAACATTCAACTTGTTATTTTTATAAAAGTTACCGACTGCAACTTTAATAGTTGCATTAGTATGGTAATATTCCTAATGAGAAATGAATGTACAACCAAAGATTTAATTGATTTTAGATAAATTAACAAATTAATAAAAGACTATACTACAGTGATAAGAGCACTGTTGGACACGAAGGATAACAGATCAGAGACTGACCTTAAACTTGAATCCCTTGAATGAAAGGAATCTATTGGAAATACAACACGTTAACAAGACTTAGACTTAGACTTAGACTTAGACAGACTTTATTTGTCATTTAGATTTGCATCAACAGGAATAGAGGAGAGGCAGTATGTACAGTCAAAAAAATAGATATCCAAATATCCAACTTTTTCATATAAGAAAAAGAGAAGAGAAACCCGTAGATAATATATATTGCACAATTTTAGTTGCCTATGTAAAATAACTTTTGTATATAATACAAATAAGAAAAATATGATAAATATATCTTTTGTATAAAAGACAGATTAAAATAACGCAATACAAAGATAATAATAAGATAAATATAAGCTAGCTTAGTCCTTTGTAGGTGTATGGGTGAGGAGGGGGAGAGAAGGGGGAATGGTTATACAGTGTTCAGCAGTCTTATGGCATGTGGAAAGAAGCTGTTGTTGAGTCTGGCTGTTTTGCCCCGCAGGCTGCGGAATCTCCTTCCAGAGGCCAGCAGTGAGAACCGTCCATGGTGGGGATGGGAGGGGTCACTAACGATGTTTTGAGCCCTGGTCAAACAGCGTTTCTTTGCAATGTCCTGGAAGGGAAGAAGTGAAGTCCCAATGATTTTCTCCGCTGTCCTCGCCACCCTCTGTAGGGTTTTCCAGTCAGAGGCACTACAGGCCGCCAACCAGACTGCAGTTGGTCAGGATGCTCTCTATAGTTCCTCTGTAGAAGGTGGTGAGAATGGGAGCGGGTAGGTGCACTCTCCTCATCTGGGGCAGAAAGTGCATACGCTGCTGGGCCCTCTTTTCAAGGGTGCCAGTGTGGTTTGACCAGGTGAGAGAGTCCGTTATCTGCACCCCCAGAAACCTGGTGCTGCTGACGATTTCCACACCTGAGTGGATAAATAGACGAAATAATAGTAATTAATTAATAATAACTTTAGTGGAGAATCTCCATCAATCTGTAATTCTAGGAATCAGAGTTGGAAGTCAGGATCAAGTTATGTTTTATTGAGAGAAAATTAGTTTTGGACACTGCAGTCCCACAATAAGTTTATAAATAAACAGCACAGAGCAACAACACAAATAACATAAAATCATCAGTCATAAAAAAGATCACACAGAGGTGTAGTGTGGTATAACATACTGATACATAATGACTGATTATATAATTATTATATTAATGTCATGTTTACAAGTGTTAACCTGCATTGGTTTGTAATAATCTACATTAATAATGAAAAGTCTATGAGAGGAATCCTCCAGAGAACATACTTTAGTGTCTGACTACAGACTTACACATACTTATGTGTCATTTTGCACATGAAGTTTCTCAGGAAAACCACAGCTAGCATCAGAAGTGAATCTCATTAGCAGACAGGATACAGAAGGACACACACCTGACTCCTTTTTAAAATACAAAGAATATGTATCAACCACACTGGAGGCTAACCTTTGAAGAAAGATGACAGACTAAATATAGCCATCCTGTTGCTTTGTTGTTGTTTTATAGATGTTGTTCAGTTTCAGCTTCAGAGAAACTTCCCTTCTTCAGCAGATGAAACAGCCTTCTAGTTTCAAAGTCCACACATACATCAGTGAACATCAAACTTTCAAATGAAGTTTTTTTTATCAATTCAATTTATTTAAACTTCATTTCAGACAACAAACATCTTTGTTATTGTTTGTTTTGCTTTTTCTAAAATGGTAGGACTAGTTGTCACTGCTGGTGCGAGTGGTGTAACATAGACTGGAATAAAGAGAGTGCAGTTCAATGACATCTTTACAAACTTACAGGACCATGAAGGAGGCAAACCAGAGATGTAGTCTAAAACAGATTATGAATCCAAAAAGGAAACATTATTCAGATGTGCACAGACAACTCACTCTTAAGAGATACAGGAAACATATACATTTTTGCAGATATACTGGACATTTTAACCTACTTCAACTGTTGCCCTGCCGAATGTGTACAATTGTCTCATGCAATGAGGGATTATTAACAATATTTCAAGTGTGTTTCTGTTTAGTTTTATATCAAATCTTGTTGCAGGAAAAGACCTGTCGGCTAGTTTTTTAATTATCAATATGTATTTTGTCAATAATATTTCCTGCTAAATGACGTGTCTCATGGCAGATCTGAGCATTTCTATCACACATGAACACATTGAGGGATTTTAAGGGGTTTAGAGAGGGGGCGCACTGGTAGGTCACTGGATGTATATCACGTATCAAGACTCAGTCCTTACTGCAGTAGCTGGGTTCATATCTGGCCTTTTGCTGCTTATCATTCTCTCTCTCCACTGCCTTTGTTGTCTTTCTCTTACTGTCCTGTCAAAATAAAGTAAAATTCCTCAAAAATAAAAACAGGAGTATAGAGTCA